TAGGGGCTTCATTTCATAAAATTGATTTACTCATGTATTTGAATTTTTTATCATCCAAGATGATTTTTTAATCCATAAATCGTACAATTATTTAATGTATTTTGAATTAAATCTTTGATAAAATTGTTCAAACAAGTTATGAACAAAATCCCAAAAATAAGTACATGTAGATGCGTTTCATTAGAACCAGGTTGTATTCGAGGTTACTGATTGACCCCAGATGAGAAATTAGTACAGGTTTGTTGAAGGGGATCACACACACACGGGTCGAGGTGTCATTTCGGGGAGAAGGGGGAGAGGGCGGTTGACCGCACGGGGAGACAGTGTGCTAATTAGAGAGCTACACATAAGTGTCAGTTTTCTTCTAAGAACTCAAAGGTCTTCGATTTATTTTGATATTTGGCATCCCGATGGATTATATTTTGAGTTTATTTCCGCGCCGAAAAGGTAAGCTGTTAAAAAACTTCATGTTTTCCCTTGTACATGTATATATTATGTTTATTTTATCTAATGCCTGATAGAATTAATGAAAATCTTCTATTTTATAGTAACAGCCATAGTGTGATAAATTGCGTAGATTATTTCTTTGATTATATTTAATAATTTTGATTTCTTATATTAATTTAGACATATGTCAAGGAATTTTTAATTAGCTTAAAAAATAAATTTAAAATTTGAACGTATACGGCCAAAATCGTTGTTAAAATCATTTGGATCATTGTCTTATGTTATATTATATTTGTAATAATTGTGCATACATACAGGTCATATTTCTGACCTTATCAGACGATAAACAAGGAAAAACAGAATATTACATGAAAAAAGATACATTACAATATTCTGCTTATTATTTATCTATTTGCTTTTTGTCTACGCAAACATCGCAGTTTACCAAAAATCTTTCTCTGGTAACTCCGATTCATTTGAGAAAATCATATTAATAGCATTTAATTTAGACAAAATAAATCATACAATTCGATATATTATTTTTTAAAGAAATAGACCAGTTGATCGATCTACTTATAATTTCATTTCCGAAAAATAGAGTTACTGTTTAAATTTTTACAATTACTCTCTGCTTTACAATGATATAATTATTTTGTTTATTTAATAAATTATTTATTAATAAATCAATTTATTCATTCATGACATAAGCGATTAATTATTTTTTCCGTCTACGCTTAAATATTTCTTATATTAATGAAAAAGAAAGGGATAAATCTTTATTTTCTCTTTTTCGGTTGAATTAATCTTATTTTTATTAACAAAACGAAAAAGAAACTCGGACTAGCTCAGTAGTCTCTTTACATAGTAAAGATAAAAAGCGAGGGTTTCCGAATATACACGATAAACGCAAAACACGAGAAACGGAAAACACGATAGAAAACGCAAAACCTGATAAACGGATAACACGATACGATAGGATACGATAGTATCACACCCTCTCATTAGATGCGTGGGCTTGTCAGTAAAGCCACTAGGGTGGACTAATTGAGTGAATGAAGATAAAGCCGCTTTACGATTTGCAGACCTTTATTTCTCGTGGGGTCGGACAATATCAAGGACAAGCGCGTCCCGATTCCAACTCCCCGAATGTTAACAAAAATTTGTATTTATAGACTAGATTGATAATTGATAAGTTTGAGTAACATATGACATGAGTTAATTTGATTTACAAGTAGAGTTAAAGATTATGATTTTAAATAAACAATAATTAGGTCAATACCCCCTTGCCCCAGTAAAACACGGCCTCGTGTTTTGAATAGGCACATGTACACTAGAGGTTTGTTCACTTGTATAAATTTGGTGTCCGAAATGAATATTTTGCAGGTTTTTTCCGTAATTTGGGATTTTGATGGAACGATTATAGGACTCATTTTCTAGTTCACGTATCCGTTGTAAATAAAATTCCTGGTTGTTCAAGAGTTTAATATTTTCCGTTTTCAGGTTTAGAATGGTGTTGTCCTTTTCTTGAAGTCTTGCTTTGTTTTCTTTCCATTCTTCTTCAACGTTAGCACTAATTGAATGTATTAACTGATTGTGAGATGACTTTTCAAGTCGTAGAGTCTGAACTTTTTGTTGCAACTTTGAAATTATGTGTTTATCTTCGGCGGTATTGCAGACCGATGGGTGAGATTCAGATGGCTGTATCGTTGAAAGTATATTAAATTTTTCTTCCAGGTTAATTATCACGTTTACAGCTTCAGCATGCATTATTTCCATTTCTTTCACTTTGACACGTAACTGTTGATTTTCCGTTTTAAGTCCTTGATGGATGTTAAGGGTGTCCTGGAATGCTGTATTCCTTAGATTATAAAAAGGCAGTTCGCGGAGATGAGATTTGCTTTGAAGGTATTTTTCCATACGAACTTTGTCTCTGGACTGTCGTCTACAGGAACGTTGCTCTTGGATTGGTGCACTAGTATTTGCTATCATGGTCATCCTCACAGGCGAAGAGAGGACAGTTATACACATTCTAGCATAGTGACCATGACGCTTACATCTGTAACACTTCTCCATTTGAGCACGGCAACTGGGTCCATGGACGATTCTGCATCGGCCACAAACTGGTAATTGACGCTGAAAGGAGTAATCCATAGGTCTCCGTTGTGGTCCAAGGCTGCGATTCATAGCGGCGTGTACGAAATTCAAGATGAGTCTTAAGATGAATTAAGGGAATTCTTGTAGAAGTAAGGGGAATCAGTGGTAGAACTCGCTTGGCTGTGAGAGGGGGTCGTACCCGGTTATCTGCACCACTTATCACACCCTCGCGTTAGATGCGTGTGCTTGTCAGTAAAGCCACTAGGGTGGATTATTTAGTAAATGAAGATGAAGCCGCTTTACGATTTACAGACCTTTATTTCTCGTCGGGTCGGACAGTATCAAGGACAAGCGAGTCCCGATTCCAACTCTCCGAATGTTAACAAAAGTTTGTATTTATAGCCAAGATTGATAATTGATAAGTTTGAGTAACATATGACATGAGTTAATTTGATTTACAAGTAGAGTAAAAGATTATGATTTTAAATAAACAATAATTAAGTCACACAAAGCACGGTCCATCTGGTTGTATCACTCATGGCTAATTAAGGTAATTAAATATTTCAAAATAGATAAATTTGACAGATTGAAACAAAGTATGACAACTCAATATTAAATAAAAAAATAGATTTGAGAATTATGAATTAAAATATCCAAAGTAATTGTCAAAATGTCCATGGTACATTTTCATCTGTGACAATAGGATACACGCACGATACGATAGGATACACGCACGATACGATAGGATACACGCACGATAGAACACGATAGAATTGTAAAGAATAACGATGCGGGTACTGTATGTGATTTTCCTTCCATATTATGATAGAGGACATGCAACAATATTCATAAAGGATACATTTCTGAACGTTTTATTAGGGCCCCGCAAGGATTTGCGGGTGCCCTATAGTAATCACTCTGTCTGTCCGTCCGTCCGTCCGTCCGTCTGTCTGTCTGTCTGTCCGTCTGTCACTCTTCCGTCCACAAATTTTCTGTTTTTTTCTAATAACTTTTTTTATGGTTGCCCAATCAAGTTTAAATTTGGTATGGTCGTTTAATAGGCAGAAATACATATTATGATGCTAAGTTTGATTCTCTACGTCTTCTAGTTTGGAGCTGGGGTGGTGGGGTAGATTCCTTAACTATGCATAAGAATGAACGGGCAACTTTTTTATGGTTGCCCAATTAAGATCAAATTTGGTACGGTAGTTCAGTAGGCAAAAATACATATTTTGATGCTAAGTTTGGTTCTCTATGTCCCTTGGTTTGGAGCTGGGGTGGTGGGGTAGATTCCTTAACTTTATATAAGAATGCATTTGCAAAGAGAGATAACTGCTGAAGATGAAACTGAATTCTACTAGGAGTCCCATGGGATTAATTAGCTTTCCTCCTGAAGAAAATCCAGAGCATTATCTTTATCTGTCACATTGAGATTAATTACAACCTCTGTCTGCAAATGAAGTTTGTTTTGAAGTTAAATCAATTTGAAATGCTATGAACACTGTGAAATGTGGATTTAAGTATAAATTTTTATTATTTATTTTTGTTTGATAGTTCTGATTTCATTGAATCCTAAAAAAAGAAATAAATTAAAGAAGATTTTTTGATTTACCAGGGTACTTTTTTCCACTTTTTTCCTTTTTTTTTAAAAAAATATATTCATTCAAGAATGTTTTTAATTTTTAATGTAGTTGTATAAAAACCCCATTCTATCATATCTTTAGAAGAAAATGATGAGAGAGGTACAATTAATCCCTTGGGATTAATTATCTAGCTTGCTGCAGAAAATTTAGTAGGCTTCTCTTTATCTGTCACTTTAAGATTAATGAAAACCTTTGTCTGTAACTGCTGTTTGTTTGAAGTTAAGGTCAACACTTCATGATATTTGCATTCATTGAAGGCTGGCATTTTATATAACACAAGATTCATAATTGTTTAAATATAAATTCAATGTTAAGTTGTTCTTTACTGCCTAATGTAAATACAAGAATATTATTTTCAGGCTTTTTATTCAGGAATTATGTTGAAATTTTAGAATACAGTTGCTGTTGCTTTTTCTTTGTACATTTATTAATCATTCCGTAAGCTGCACCCTTTTAATTCTACCCCATGGCGGGGCCCTTGCTGACTGGTCAGTTTTCTAGTTAATTGTTAGTATTATTTTTCAAAGAGTAGTTACTTTTTGTCCCTTTTAATCTCAAACACCTTCAAAATAAACCCTTTTCAGCTACCTTACATTTTCATGTAAGGTAAAAGCGGGGCCCTTTGAGATGGCCACCATCTCAATGATTTCTAGTTCTACTATAAAGTTAAACAAATGTTTAGTTTATGTACACACAGAGAAAGTGAGAGAAGAGAGAGAGATGAGTCTGACTTTTGTGCCTGACTAGTTCTAAACTTTATGAAATAAGTTGGATCAGCTACAATTTAAGTAAAATTCTCACGTGACCCTCTATGGGATGTTGTTAGATGTTAGTGTAGCAAGTATGTGAGCAGATCTAATATCTAATTTTAAGTTGATTGGATCAGCTAAGCTAGTGATGTGCAAGGCTTTGTATTTAAAAAAAAATAAAAGAATGATTAAAAAAGAAAAATCAAAATGTTATTTTCGTTTTGCAGTAAACTCATCCAGCCAAAAACAACGTTTTAAAGTTAAACTTGATGAATCAAGCCAACAAAAGAGTATTCAGGACAAACCTGCAGAATTATCTGGTGACATGAAAAAGTTGAACATTGAAGAGAAAGGATATCAAAAGGACACAGTCAGTAGAGCAAGCGATAAAGAATCGTCAAGTGATGAAGAAATTACACATGAGAGCTTGAATACAGAATCTGAATCACGTAAAGGGAATGAAGCTGCTGCCTTTCTGGAAAAAGAAAGAATGATTGAAGACCAACAAAATATTCCTAAAGAATCAGAAATATCAGGAATTTTACGAGTCTCCAAAGATGCATCGGATGATCCAGAGAAAAAAATTACTATGATAGACTTTGCGGGACAGTGTTCATATTATTCCTCACATCAGATTTTTTTGAGTCCAAGGGCATTCTTCATCCTAGTGCTTAATATGAAGAAGAAATTACTTGAAAAGGTTGGAAAAGAAGTTTGTAGCCAGAAAGGTTCAATTTACGAAGGGTGGACATATAAAGGTATGTTTTTATTACATAATTAATGTTTATTACGTGTAGTTGTCTAGTTTCTGTCAAAGCAAATGCATTATAAGTATGGAAGATCTTTCTGCTTAACTTTTATTATTGACAAGCAGTATCTTTTAAAGTCATATATTCGAAAGTTCTATGGTCGATACAATGACCTTGAAAACTGCTATAAGGAATAACAACAGTTCAAAATGATTAAGATGATTGTTGTGGTCTATGGATTTAGTCAAGTCTATACAAAGGTAATAATTTCAAAATTAGGCTGATGCTCGTTTCTCATTACAGAGGTTTTCATAATGTTTTATAAATTTCAACTTAACAGGATTTAGGCCTCAGGAATTTGCAAATTTATTGATATTATTACATGTATAATTGAGTTCTTGTTAAAGATAATTTTTTATGCGCCTGGATCGATAGATCCAGGGCGTATATTGTTTTTGTCCTGTTTGTATGGCTGTCTCTCTGTTTGTTTGTTTATTTGTTTCGAACTTTAACCTTCACTATAACTTTTGAACCATGAATGATGCAGACTTCATATTTAATATGCATACTCTACTTATCAAGCTCTTTCAAATGACACCAAGATCGATGACCTTGTGACCTTAACTGTGTCCTACTAGTTTATGCTAAAGATAGCTTTTTTTCTGCAAACTTCTGTAACCTTCGCCATTACTTTTGAACCATGAAAGATAGAGACTTCATATTTAGCATGCATACTCCGATATTCAGGTTCTTTCAATTGATACCAAGGTCAATGACTTTGTGACCTTGACTGTGATATATATGCAAAAAAGTAGTATTTGAACCCTCACTATAAACTTCGAACTAGGAGAGATTGAGATTTCAGATTTTGTACGCATACTCCACTAATCAAGCTCTTTCAAATGAAGCAAAGGTCAATGACTTTGTGACCTTGACTGTGATATACATGCAAAAAAGTAGTATTTGAACCCTCACTATAAACTTCGAACTAGGAGAGATTGAGATTTCAGATTTTGTACGCATACTCCACTAATCAAGCTCTTTCAAATGAAGCAAAGGTCAATGACCTTGTGACCTTAACTGTGACCTTAATGCTCAAAAAGGCTTTTTCTGAATTTTGTTGCCGCCCGGGCGCATAGTGTTTCACAAACACATCTTGGTTTCTTTTGAAGATGAATACACCCATAAACACGATATAGATTATAACATGAAGTTTAATGTAGGCTTACAGGGTGGTGTATCATGTACACTTATTAATAAAGTTACTGAGTAAATATTGATTTTTATTTTATTCAGACTATCTAACATTCTGGACCAAGTCCATTCATCAATACAGCAGTGAAAAGGCTCCTGTTATACTGGTGGGCACTCATGCTGAAAAAAAGACAAAGGAGGTATTTGATAGCACTGCAAAAGCTTTTTAGTTCTTCGAAACTGCAAAAGCGAAGGAACTTTTTGATCACATTTGTCCGCTGTCTGTCGTCTTTTAATATTTTAAAACTCTTTTCAATTATCGCTGGGTTAATTTCAACCAAACTTAGCACAGACTATACTGTAAAGTTATACTATAATACAGGTGAAGGGAATTTAAATTAGTCCAAAGCAAGGCCTATTAAAAAAAATTCCTGAAAACTTGCTCTATGATAATTCAATGTTCTTAAATTTTAAGAAAAACTGGTATATTTGAGTACTTTCAGAGAAGAAAAAAATATGAGTAGAATCTTTAATCCAAAATTGTAAAACTTGTGTTATAATCCTAAAAAAAAAGTTCCATCCTTTTTAGGTCACCTGAGTAAACTCAGGTGACCTATTGCTATCCGTTTTTGTCCGTCGTCGTTCGTCGTTCGTCGTACGTCGTTCGTCGTTCGATGGCGTTAACATTTGAACATTTTCAGCTTCTTCTCTGACACCACTGAACCAATTTCGACCAAATTTAGCATATAGCTTCTATGGGTGAAGGGGAACAAAAATTGTGAATTTCATTGTCCCTGCCCCCGGGGTGGGGCCAAAACCACTAAATTAGTGCAATCTTTGAAAATCTTCTTTTTAACTCCTGGACATCAAGCAGGCAAACTGTTTGCATGATTGTAATTAGCATTTAGTCCTCTACCAAAATTGTGAAATTCATGGCCCTGGGATCAGGGGTTCTAGTGCTAGGGCGGGGCTAAATAAGTATATAGTGAAAATGCATTATTTCTTTGAAAATATTCTTCTCTACTCCTGGGTATTACATAAATCAAATAAGTATATAGTTATGATGAGCAAGAGTACTTCTACCAAAATTGTGAATTTTATTGCCCCAGGGTCAGGGGTTCTTGTGTTAGGGCGGGGCTCTATTGATTATATATAGTGAAAACACATGATTATTTTGAAAATCTTCTTCTCTGCCCCTGGATATTAAATATGCTAACTAAGTGCATAGTTTTGATACATTGTAAGCAAGAGAGCCTCTACCATAATTATGAATTTTAAGGCCCCAGGGTCAAGGGTCCTGGTGTTGGGGGGGGGGCTCTATTGATTATATAGTGAAATTACATGAATTCTTTGAAAATCTTCTTTTCTGCTCCTAGGTATTAAATAAACTAACTAAGTGCATAGTTATAATGAAGAAGAGTGCCTCAACCGAAATTGTGAATTTTATGGCCCCAGGGTCTGGGGTTCTGGTGTTAGGGTGGGGCTCTATAGATTATATAGTAAAAATACATTAAATATTTGAAAGTTTTCTTCTCTGTCTCTGGGTATAAAGCTGATGAACTACCTTTATAGTTATTATCAGCAAAGGCCCTTATCTTGCAGACTTGTGAATTTCAAGGCCCCAGGGTCAGGGGTGGGATGGGGGCTCTACTTATATACTGAAAATGAATTTATTGTTTGAAATCTGTTCTTTTGTATTTATAAATCATTTATTTATTGATTTTTAGGGTGTCTTTTAAAAATTTGTGCAATGTGTGGACCTTAAGGGTCAGGGGTTTAGGTCACAGTGTTAGGGGCACTACTGATTAGTTGGAATGCATTTTTTGTTCCCCTACCCTGCGTATTCAGTAAAAAGGCTAAGCAACTGCTAAGTGTATTGTTATGATGATCAATGGTGCCTCTTTCAAAATTGTGAATGTCACATACCATCTGGCCTAAAACATTAATCAAATTCAATTACTGGAAAGTTGTTGCATAATGCTCAGGTGACCTATAAGGCCCGTGGGCCTCTTGTATCATTATCATTATGACATATTTTAGATTTGATATTGCGCCCTATAGAAAATATTGGAGAGAACCTTAAAATTTGGTCGTTTTGTTGCTTGCTTTAGAATATGAGGAGAATGACGCAATTCATGATGTCATAATGCATGACAAAAATATTTCTTAATTTTTTATGGATTCTCAATTGCCAAGAGTCTAAATGATATTTTATGCATTCCCAAGTGAAGCAAAGCTTTTTCACTTTTACAGAAATTTACAGAGTCAAAAATTATATTCGTTTTAAAATTTATTTTTGATCAAATCATGTACCCCCGGGATATGGTGGGGCTACAGTTTGTGATAAAAATTTTAATGAACAATACATTAATCCAAATGTTCTTCCAAGTTGGAGAAGAAAAATGTCAATAACATAAAGGCTATGTTTAATCATGCTTACATGTTGGTATCCTAATGTAAGGTAATGAAGATTCAAATTTCACAAGTCACAAATGAGGATCAAATTTTTACAATGTAAAATAAAAAAACAGCTTTTCAAGAACAGCTAAGTCCATTGTATGCTAGCTTTATACTTTTTAACTGAATAATTTTTTTTACCAGGAAAAAGAAAAGTTTTTCCGTGAGATATGGACGAGCTTGGAAACAAAGGATGGGTCTCTGCAAAAACATATTGACAGGAAAAGGATGTTTGCTGTTGGATTCCATGAGAATAAATGCATTGAAAAAATTAAGCTGTCAGTTGTTGATGTTGTCAAAAACCTTGATCACTGGGGTGAAAAACTTCCGCACTCCTGGACTATGTTTGAAAACTTCTTCCAGGAAAAGAAAAACCTTAAAATCATCAGCAAAGAGACACTTTTGGCTTTCAATGATGCATTGCCAATAGAATTAAAGTTGGGAACACAAGAAGGTATTAACACCATGCTGCAGTTTTTCCATGACATCAGAGAAATTTTACACTTTGACCAAGAATCCCTCAGAGAAATCATAATTCTTGATGTTCAATGGTTTGCAGATGCATTCAAAAATATAATTACAGATAAAAACCATGCAGCAGAGGATTTATTTAAGCTTGCCTCACAATGGGATAAATTTAATGAAACTGGAGAACTGAGTGACGCACTGCTGTCTGCGATATGGGAAATGAACAACAATGGGTACCTTGATCACAAAGATAATATCATGTGCTACATGGAAAAGCTTGGTCTCTCGGCTAAAATGGATGAAAACAAATGGTATGTCCCCTGTATGAACAAGAAACCATTTCCTGCGGAATGCTTTTCATCCTACCCTGCCTCATCCATCCTCTGCTACGTGTTTGATGCTCTTCCTGCTGGAATTTTCCAGCGCCTGATAGCTATTTGCATCCAAATACCATGGAAACTTAATTCAAGTCGTGATGAACTATGCATTTACCAGACAGTAGCTGTGTTTCGTTTTGAGAATCATAACATTCTGATTGGTATGACACCAACAGAAATTCATTCACAAGTGTTTGTAATTGAAGGAGAAGTCGATAAATCTATATGTCAACAAATAAAGCACAAGATAGACAATATACTGAACATTCTCTCAGAAACATTTCATGCAGACTCTAAATTTGCTCACGCTTTCAAATGCAAAGCTACGGGATTCTGTGATAACAATGAAAGTTCTGTGATCCCACAATCAGAATTTATAAAACTTAATTTTCAGTGCCCTGCCTGTCCAATTGGGAGAATGCATAACATCAACTCAAAGGATATCACGAAATTTTGGATCCAGGTATTTGATTTTAATAATTGTTTTTTTCCAGAAGAAAAAAAGAGTTAAGTTTTACTGTAAGATTTAGTTTCTGCAAATTTTAAATATTCTGGATCATACTTTGAGTGTTCTGCGCTTATATTTTGGCTACACGACTGCTATTTGAACTTTTCAGTCTTAAGTTAATTCAATTAAACCTCAGACACTTTTTGGAAAGTACATCATTTAAAATAGCTATTGAATAAGTTTTTCAAAAAAGAAAAAGATAAAAAAAATGTTACGATGGAAGTTTTAAATCCGAAGAAAAAGAGGATTAAATTTTTGACAAAAAAATGTTAAAAAGGGTTACATGTAGATATGATGTAGATATGATGAATTTGAAATTAAAGAAGGAAAGGCAATTTAAAATTCATAGAGAGTAAATATAAGTTGTTTAATTTCCTAAAATAAAGAAATTGGGTAAAGTTTGAATTAAAATTCCCGTTGAGGTATAAAAAAGTCTTCAAAGGCTGATTTTATAAAGATAGTCATCATAGCCTTTCAGAGAAAAAAACAATATTATTGTGCAACATCTATTTTCACTTATTCTTTTTATATTTTATACTGAATCAATGTAGTTTTGCTTCATTTTACTTAAAATCAGAGTGTATATATTTATATGTCGTTTTTCAATACGAGAACTGCAAGTTGAGAGCATTCAACAATGGAACTTGTCATTTCACTAAACCACTGATTGTTTTTACTGAAACAATCATTTGTATTGTAAGATTTATACAATGTGGGATTTAAACGAGTGTTTGTGTTATATCGTTTCACGTTTGCATTCAGAAAATTTTGTTTATAAGATAACTTATTCTTGAATGATCATTCACAAAGAGCACACCAGTTTTAGTGTCAATATTTACATACACAAGTATTTTAACATTTAAGGTACATGACGATGAAGCTGAGCTTTCGGAAGGTAAAAGTATAGATGAAAGTTCACAGTCAGGGAGTTCTGGACCAAGTGATTCACATCCTAAAGGTATATCAATTAAATGTTCAGATCAAATTCTTTGTTCATTTCACATTATCCTCGACTTTACATAGCACAGATAATATAATATTAGTGAGGGTAAGTTGCTAGTGAAAATGTTTCAATCATGCACGAATGTAATGACATCATATGTTAATTCTGATTAAAAAATTACAGAGCTCCAATAGATATTTTATATCTAATTTTTAGAAAAAGAAGTTTATTAATAAAGTTTGTAATGGATAATTTTATTAATTAATTAATGTTTGAGCGATAAATTTTAATAAATACAAAATTCTAAAAATAGAACTTCGCGATGCATTAGGCGACCTACGGATAAATTAATTTAAATTAAATTATTTGTCAGACCCATCACCCCGTCCTTTATTTATTGTATATCCTATGTACAAATTAAAATGCCTGTATAAAATAAATCTTAAGCAATTACATAAAAAAGTAAGCTTTAAGAACAACATTTTACTAATTATTGATAAGGAGCAGGTAATGCGTTATCTTGTCTTGATAGATTAAGTAAATTCCCTTTATTGTCTTCTTTTATATTCAACATCTTGGAGAAAGTATTGAAATGATTTAATAATCATGACAATTATTTTGATACTATATTGTCATTACTTAACATACTTGGGCTATATTTCTGTTAAATAGATAATTTTGACAAGATATTTAAGTTGATACAAGTTGGAACTGATGCAATTAGAATCTGCTTTGATAAATTCTTCCCAAAAGAGGATTTAGAAAAGACTCTGAAAGAAAACGAAACAGACATAAGAAGAGGACAGTTCCGATTCCAACCACCTCAACTAGAGATTCTCTTCCCAAAGCAAGGTACTGATTAGTTTTCTTTCTTTAATGATAAATGTTATGCTTCTTTAAATATATATCTTATGGCATAAAGAAATATAAAAGTCTGTAAAAAGATTTTTGTTATGATATGAAAATTTCTGTACTATCAACCTCATAATGTTTTTAATTAAACAACGGCATTTTATTCCCTAAATAAATAATAACTTCAAATAAATAATAACTTTATTCCCTAACTGAATAATTACTTCTTTTTCTACCAAAGAAAATTTTAATCCTAAAAAAATTGACATTTTTCCGTATTTAACTAATGACCTACATTAAGAAGAAAGAGCGATTATTCCATTCGAAAGTAACTATTTTGAAATAGTGCTTGAAAAAAGTAAGCAAAAAAGTATGCTGAATATAAAAATGAACTTGGAAAGTCTACAAATAAAAAGAAAAAATACTTTTGATATCAAAACAAGAATGTGAAAGTATAAGTTTAAATATATTTAATGTTACCAAATATTGTAGGGAATATAATTGGTAATTAAATACATAATGACCCAAATCAAACTATGACAGAGAAATATATAATTAAATTATTATTACATAAAACAAGGAGATGTATACAGACATTAAGATACTGTATATTTTTTTAAAATCATGATGACATATGTTAGATCATGAAATCAGGATATGACGCATATTCTAAATTTTATTGATTTATTCAGAAAAAAGTTTATATTGCGTCGATATTTTGAGTAAAAGTCGTAGAGCACAGGCCTGCCCTAGTGCAATATTTTGATATAAATTGCAGAAAAGTAATACCACTGCAATATGTAAATCTTGTTTAGGAGTAGGCCTGTTCTCTATTAATTTTAGAGTAAAAATTGAACAAATTGTGTCCATTTTAACAACATAATATCTAAATAGTTTGTGTCGTCATAGAAACAAAACTTACCAATAATGTAGTTTGGAACTGTTACATTTTTGTTAATTTATATTCCTCATTCATTATATGCATTACAGCAACTTTTAGGAAATTTTCAAAATATGACTTTGGCTGGGGCAAAAAGATGCCTAGTGTATACCGCGTAAAGATCTTAACAGTGGTTTCAATAACAAACTTTATTTATTTACTGTTCCCAAGGATAGAATATTACTTAAAATTGTTTCAATACCAAATTAGTCATAAAATTTCAGCAACAACAACATAATATATAATGATTTGGAGTATTTTTACAACGCACTTTTAAAAATTACACAGTTTGAAAAAAATGTCAAAGTGCGTTAAATTTAGGACCAAGCTAAAGCAATATTTTTTTTAAAGTGTGTTAACATCGACCATTTTAGCGCACTCTGAAAAAAAATAAATTTAAGGGGTCCCGACCCTCTGCTATCAAATTTCACTCAGAAAATTTAATATTTCTAATTTGGATTTTCATGAACAACAATAACATTAGAGCCACATAGAAAATTGTTTGATGTAAGAAGCGCAGCTTATTTTTTCAGAAATTATTTTTATGTCAGATCATGATATGAAGAAATTTCAACATAGAGAACAAAAACAGTAACGATTTATTATCATAACATTTAATTTGAAATATGAGTTGTATATGAAAATAATACTTAGTATAATACCTATTAAAATCATGTCAGAAAACATCATGAAGCGATGCTTTCTAAGTCAGAAAATTACAATGTTGTATGTGGTTGTAAGAAAAAAAAATACATCTGTGAGGAGGAGTTATCTTTCTTCTAAAAATTTCTTCATATAAAAAAAATGTCATACTTATAAAAATTCTGTATTAAGTACTTGAAACATTAAACCATAATTAAAATAGTCTTTTAAAAAATACGACTTATTCAATTTAAAATGCTTTTGAAGTAGGATTTAAATGTTTTATTGTTAAATATAATAAAACAATTAGTCTGAGATTGGCAAAAGAAATAGAAAGTAATGTTTCCATGGAATGTCGGATTTCAACGAATTGACTACTCAGAGGTCTAAATTAGGGAACCCTGATGAAGAAAACTGTGAGTAGTATTCATGTTTTGTACTCTGACTGTCTCTGAGAGTTATCTTTCATATCAGAGGGTCGGTACCCCTTAAGTTGTATCAATATCCTTACAAATAATAAGTATGATAAATAGCTGACCCTGACTGGGTAATTTTTTTTAAAGATAAAGTCACTTCAGGACCTGATATATTGAAGTTTTAAATATTTCAGGTTTCGATAAAATAAAAGGAAAAGGGTCTTGAAAAGAAAATTGGGGATCTTCTACCTGTCTTCTCCTCCTTTCTACGGGAGCAAATCAATTCATAAGTTTTTTTGAAAGATAAGGCCTAAATAACAAATAAGATCTTTCCATTAATAAAATATGTTTAATTTTTTTCAAAGTGCGCCAAGTGTCTCTATGGTAAATTATCTTGATGTAAACTCTTAACGCACTTTGAACTTTTTTTTTTCAAAGTGCGTTGAGCTGGTCCCAAATTTAAGGCACTTTGAAATTTTTTTTCAAAGTGCGTTGATTTTGTCCTAATTTTAACGCACTTTGAAAAAATTATTTCAATGTGCGTTGTCACAGAGCATGTTTTATTAAGGTGTTGAAATGAATCCATTATAAGAAATATTCTGCTTGGTGTTAATGTTTTTTTTCTTTCAATAAAATACCGTAATTAGTAAGAAAAACATTTCTTTTTTTTGTGTGTTAAAAGTGAAACCATCAATGTAACAAAAAGACATATAAAATACTACTGTATACAGTGAATTTATTGCCCCGGTTTTATTTTGGCCCCTTCCGCCCTACGCTCGGTTGGGCGAATTTAAAAAAGAGGTGAATTCAAAGAATACAGTAAAATTTCTTAAAACAGGGCAAATTGTTCGCCCGTGTGAAAGAGCGAAAATAAAGCGGGGCGAAAATAATATTGGTACATGTACGCATATTGTTCAAAATGTAATTATATTTTTATTTTTAAACAATTTGAAAACCATTTTGATCTATGTTTATGAAACTGAAAGATTAAGAGCACTGATATACAATTTTATTTTTGTATTTGATGAGCACAAAAATGTTAAAATTTTGCTCATGATTGTCAATTAAATTCAAAACCCGATAAACTTCCAAGACAAGTTAACGGTTAGATGATTTAAATAAATGAGTGAAGCGGAAAACCATTATTTCTACTTTATCCATCTTAGACCTGTATCTGTAAGGATGTTTTTAAATAATTTTTTGAAGGAGGATCCAACACTAGTGTATCATCTTTATCTATGGACGTTACCATTATGTATAAATTGTTGAGGAATTTCTCGGACATTGCTCCCCCAGGAAATGGATGGGGAAAAGAACCTAGAATAGTGGACATCACAGAGAGTGACGACATAGAAAGAATCCGTTTATATAGAAATAAATACAGCCATGATCCAGGGAGTAGCCCCGTAATGAGTGATGATGTTTTTAACATAATCTGGGCTGATCTTTCTAAGGTGAGTGAAAGCTTTACACGTTGAGGGTTATTTTGCTTTCCAGGAAAGGGTAAATTTCAAATGAGACAATTTAGTTGTGGATCATTTCTCGACAGTAAACGTTTATTTGTTCTTATTTGGTAGGATTGGGCATTCATTAACGATTAGAGTTAAAGTAAAACATTTTCATATCTAAAATAAGAAATAATTTTTTTACCAAAAATTTCTCAGAAGAAAATAGCCAGCGCAAATTTATTTTTTTTTTTTGTAGAGAAAGAATGCAAAAATTCTAGGGAAAAACAATCCTTTATTTAGAGCATACATCTCTTAGTAGAAAATAATGCATATCAGATTATACGTACAAAATTAACAATTACAAATTTCAAAAGAACAAAAATATATCTTTTTAAAGCAAACTTTTCTGTATTTACATATATGTATAATTATTTGCATTTTTAGTTGCAACTTTTTTCTCATTTATGCCATTTTTTTCTGTTTATCTTCAAAAAGTAGTTTCGTAATAAAAGACACTTTTTTTTAGAATAAACTGAGTTGTTTAATGTCTTTATTTAATTCAAATAAAAATAAGTCTCTATTTATAAAATTGGTCAACAAAACCAATGTTATACTTTTATATTGGATTTGTCTTATTTCTTTTCAGGCCATTCTAAGACTCAGTGGTGATGTTTTAAAGAGAAGGATAAGTGAAATATAACTGAATGGATATTAAAATTTACAATATAAACGTGACAACAACAAATATTTCTATGAGAAAAAACAGTGTCTTTATGGTGATATTTAGTCACATTTATTGTAAAAATTGTGCAATATTTTATAGTGTTGATTTTTGTTGACAAACAAGATATTCATATAATAAAATTATGTGAAATACCATTTCTTACTATAAAGTGGTACTTTACATTTTACTTATCCCTGGATTTTATTATCTACATATTTACATATTGTAATAAATTGTGCTTTTACTCAGTTAGAAATTATCATTTATCATTATCGATAAATGATCAACATATTAAACAATGTTTTTAGGATTTTTGTTTAGATATTTACTTGTATTTTGCAAATAATGATGAAATAATATGTCTGTAAATGAAGGTGATGAGTACAGCAGCCATTTGTTACGTTGCCTGAGTCTTTCATGTGACCTTCATATTTGTTTTTGTCCGTCATCATCCGTTAACATTAGAACATTGACAGCCTCTTCTCTGGAAGCACAGAACCTACTTCATTGATTTTAAGTTTCTGAGTAAAGGTGAACAAAAACCGAGAACTTAATTGTCAATGGCGCGAAAACCATCAAAATAATTACATGTGTACAATCTTTCAAAATAATCTTTTCTCCTAAACATCAGGTTGTTGTACTGTTGCGATAGTTGTAGACAACATAATAAGCACTGAGTCATCTTCCATTTATTTTCTTTTTGAAAATTTCTACTCCCAGAAGCAGTATTTCGGAAATTAGGATCTTTTTTTAATATATGTTATCAAATTGTGTAATGGAGAAATTCTTATAAAATTCTATTCACTGTATATTTTGAAAAGAATTTAATTAGTCTCTTTGAAGTCTAAAAATATCTTTTAGTCAATCCTTTGTTAAGAGACACTAACGGAGAAGGAAAAGTGTTCAATTGTATATATAACAGGTGGCCTCTTAATACAAGTTACTTTTCTTCTTCGGTGTTACAACATAATATTCTAAGAATATTAAACATAAATATAGAATTTATTCATAAAATGTGTCACTGCTTTTAAGAAGTACTTCTCAAATCTTAATTCTTGTATATTATGGGGGTAAAATCGCAAAGTTCAGTGAAAAAATTGTCCTTACTATAGTTCGAATATGAGTCATTTTGCTTACAGAGAAATTTGGAAATATTAAGTTATTTTACACATTATAAAAATCTGTGCAGATTTTTTTGTCAAAAAATGTAAATTTGTTTTGACACAATACGAATCGATGCAATGTTCAAATTAACAGAATAAAGCAACAGAGCACACACAGCTACCAGCATATTTCAAAATAGAGATAATGGCTATACAGTACCGACCAGACCCAACCTGACACAAAGCAGTCCCAGAGCAGTCCCGGGGACTGCTTTCTGGGACTGCTAAAGCAGTCCCACAGCGGTCCCAGAGCAGTCCCACAACAGTCCCAGCAGTCCCAGCGGTCCCATAGAGCAGTCCCAGCAGTCCCAGCAGTCCCAGAAAGCAGTCCCAGCAGTCCCAGTGGGCAAGGTTTATTAATTTAATGGGCGGAGCTAACTCAGAAATGAGATTTGCAATAAACAATGTAACTATAAAAGGCAGTAGAAATTGATTCTGGGTAGTATGCCAGGAATCCTTACATGTACACAAAGGACATTTATGAACAGAACATGTACGCGCATGAAAAATGAAATAATTATTAATCATATTTATTGGAGGAAGAAGGCTTCACACTTACATGTACATATATGAATTACACTGAACATGAGTATTTAATCACAATTCTTGGGTATATTAATAATTCTCTTGTGATTGATACGGGTTCCCATATTTATTTTTTATACAGAAAATTAAACGTGAATTAAATATTTTCCACCAGAAGGAGCTTTAGATCTTAATAGATCTTATCATTATATGGCCAATTTAGACTATCGGGATACTAAGTTAGAGTTTTCTTAAGCATTGGGGCTTGTAAACATATTCTTTGTTAATTTTGCCAAGTATTATTTTTCAGTCATTATTTTCTCTGACATGCCAATTTAATAATCGTTAAAATCTAGTTCTATAAAACTCAGTTTTAAGTGTTTTATTTGTAAATATTATAGTGTACATCTGTAAATCACCAGAATGGAAGCTTTAGATTATATTCAAAATCAATTAATCCGGAAAGAAATTTAAACTCATTTCATTTATCATTTTTTTTTCGCATTTAAGAAATTGAAATTAGGGTCATTGTTTACCAGCATGTTCAATGATGTGTAACACTGATACATATACAAATACCCAAATAACATGTATCGATTTTTTCTGCCCAAAGGCGATTGAAACAGTGGGTGTTGATACCATCTTATAAACATTAATCGGCCAGGTAAACACTGTCTAGCAAAACAAAAAAGAAATTAATCAATTCCCGGTATTTTCATTTTTTAAAAATAAATAAAGATGCATGTACTCTTTTAAAAACTTGTTTATTTATTAAAAGCTACCAGTAATTCATTAATTCCCCCAATGATTATTCACATGGTTTATGTTATGGGAAAATTGTAGCATAATTTTATTTCATGGTCATTTAATAAATTGTCGGGTTTTATTTGAGGGTTACACAGAATACTCTTTTTTTTAGTGTGGTCCTTATAAAATGAGTAGCATTTTTAATAAAAAAAACATCTTATATCTAACCATGCTAACTGTAATGATTATTTTTATAATTAGTACCAATGCAAATTTTGAGTATATATTAAAATTTAACATTAAATAATTAAAAAAGGCCCACATGTAGCTATTTTTTTCTCATAAACTTGTAGTTTATTTATAGGGATTAAAACTTTCTCAAGAATTCCTTATTTATCAACTTTATTTTTTTTAAAATTTATTCTAAATACACATTAATTTGTGTAAATATACAGTCCTTGAAAATATCAATTAACTATAATAATCTCTACTCATTAAAAGAATGTAAGAAATCCTTGCTTATTAAACAGTTTAAACTCCTCTCTGCTGCAAGTAAACAAAACAACAATGAGCCTGCAAATTCAGGATACACAAGGGGGCGGAGCTATCATGTCACTCAGAACCTTTTTCACACATGAGTGAACAAAGCAGTCCCAGAAAGCAGTCCCAGGGTAGCTGGGACTGCTGGGACTGCTATTCATAGCAGTCCCAGAGCAGTCCCACAGCGGTCCCAGAGCAGTCCCACAGCGGTCCCAGAGCAGTCCCAGAGCGGTCCCAAAGCAGTCCCGGGGACTGCTTTCTGGGACTGCTTGGTGTCAGGTTGGGTCTGGTCGGTACTGTACCTGTTTAAAATCTCATATTTGATCATGAAGAGGAAGTCGTTGAAATTCAAGAAATTCTAGGGAATGTTTCTGTCAGACTAGTACATTATTGTGTATACGTGTGTCTAATACAGTATAATGTTTATGCAGTATTTCAATCTGGCAATCACATATGGATGATTTACTTTAAAGTTATTGAAAATGGAATTTTAAATTTTGATTTACAGCCATACTTTATGTTCATTTAGTTAAAAAAAATAAATGGTATTGGAATGTCAAATATTGAAATACCTTAGTACAACTCACTTAGATGCTTGCGTTTAAATCACGATTAGAATTTAATCAAACTCTGAGAAATAAAACATGACATTGTCAGGAGTCTGTAGGTAGTCATACAGGGAACCTCTCTCAGCAAACTCTGAGGAATAAAACATGACATTGTCAGGAGTCTGTAGGTAGTCATACAGGGAACCTCTATCAGCAAACTCTGAGGAATAAAACATGACATTGTCAGGAGTCTGTAGGTAGTCATACAGGGAACTCTCTCAGCAAACTCTGAGGAATAAAACATGACATTGTCAGGAGTCTGTAGGTAGTCATACAGGGAACCTCTCTCAGCAAACTCTGAGGAATAAAACATGACATTGTCTGGGGTCTGTAGGTAGTCATACAGGGAACCTCTCTGAGCAAACTCTGAGGAATAAAACATGACATTGTCAGGTGTCTGTAGGTAGTCATACAGTGAACCTCTCTCAGCAAACTCTGAGAAATAAAACATGACATTGTCAGGAGTCTGTAGGTAGTCATACAGGGAACCTCTCTCAGCAAACTCTGAGGAATAACACATGACATTGTCAGGAGTCTGTAGGTAGTCATACAGGGAACCTCTCAGCAAACTCTGAGGAATAAAACATGACATTGTCTGGAGTCTGTAGGTAGTCATACAGGGAACCTCTCTCAGCAAACTCTGAGGAATAAAACATGACATTGTCAGGAGTCTGTAGGTAGTCATACAGGGAACCTCTCTCAGCAAACTCTGAGGAATAAAACATGACATTGTCTGGAGTCTGTAGGTAGTCATACAGGGAACCTCTCTCAGCAAACTCTGAGGAATAAAACATGACATTGTCAGGAGTCTGTAGATAGTCATACAGGGAACCTCTCTCAGCAAACTCTGAGAAATAAAACATGTCATTGTCAGGAGTCTGTAGATAGTCATACAGAGAACCTCTCTCAGCAAACTCTGAGGAATAAAACATGACATTGTCAGGAGTCTGTAGGTAGTCATACAGGGAACCTCTCTCAGCAAACTCTGAGGAATAAAACATGACATTGTCTGGAGTCTGTAGGTAGTCATAAGGGGAAACTTTCTCATCAAACTCTTAGGAATAACATATTAGATTACAATGTAACTCACGAAATTTTCAAACAAAATATAAATTCTGCAGAATCTATTCACAAGAGAGCGAACAATATATCTGTGAGCCAATGCTCACTAGTAATACCCCCGCTCTGATGTAAATAAGCACTATCATGTTAATATACACAAGTTCAATTACAGGCAGATGCACAGAAAAATATGAAGTTGACATAGATTCATATCAAAATTAATCCCACCATAATAGCATGCCTCAACGAAGAGTGTAATAAAATTTCAAGCATCCGCTATGAATAGCTAATGAGAAAACTGCGACAAAGATTTGTTATGTATGAAACGGACAGACGCCCCGACAAACAGGAAGTTGATTCCGATTTGAGCGAAAATGTACCCACCATATGGCATGCCTCAAAGAAGATTGTATAAAAATTTCAAGCACCTGCGATGAGCAGTTGCTGAGAAAACTGCGAC